TGTTCGTGCTCTAGGGCATCTGCGTTCTTTTGCGCTACGGCACCCCCGCCGAGCTCTTGATTACAGTGCCGTTTTTAATACATGCTCCGCGTGCGGATCATGTATTCGAAACGCAGGGATTTTGCATAAAAATACTCACTGCGTGGAGCTCCCCATTTGCGCATCTATTTTTATGTCATGCCATAGTGGGCGTCTGTTCATGAGCGCTTGACTATTATAGCGCGCCCACGTGGGCGACAGGGCCGTCGAAGACGAGCGAATCCGAATGCGAGTGAGTGAGTATGAGTCCGAGTGAGATTTGAGTATGATTTGAATATGAGCCTCCCATGCATTCCCCTCCTCAGCTGCCAGGCCGTCCCCTGTTCAGAGTGTGGTGATGTGCATATGTTTTAGGATAATTGGCAGTGGGATATGTAAAACGAACCGCATCCTCCCTCATCTCCTTCCTCTGTGCGTCCCAGAGGGTACGTGCCGGAACACGACCCAAGGGAACAGCACGCCTCGACTCCTTCCTCCGTGCGTCCCAGAGGGTACATGCCGGAGCACGACCCAAGGGAGCAGCACGCCTCATTTCCTTCCTCCGTGCGTCCCAGAGATTACGTGCCGGAGCACGACCCAAGGGACCAGCACGCTTCGACTCCTTCCTCCGTGCGTCCCAGGGACCAGCACCCCTCGACTCCTTCTTCCGTGGTCCCAGAGGGTACGTGCCGGAACACGACCCAAAGGAGCAGCACGCCTCATCTCCTTCCTCGCAGCATGAAAACGAGCAAACCGCCTGAGACATCGCCGCAAAATGGCCGCGAACGGGCCCGTGTCCTAGCCCCTGGCGGCACTCTCTATGGATGCTGAAACCAGCGCCCCGCCTGAAACATCCTCAGAATCTGCTGTGAAAGCAAAGGATGTTGGGCATGAAAACGAGCAAACCGCTTGGGACATCCCGACCAACTGGCCGCGAACGGGCCCGTGAAAACACCCCTGGCTCTCCCCTTAGGGGTGCTGAAACCAGCCTGAGACATCCTCAGAATCTGCTCTGAAAGCAAATGATGCTGGGCATGAAAACGACCAAACCGCCCGGGACATCCCCACAAACTGGCCGCGAACGGGCCTGTGCAAACACCCTTGGCGGCGCCCCATAGCGATACTGAAACCAGCGCCCCGCCTGAGACATCCTCAGAATCTGCTCTGGAAGCCAAAGATGTTGCGAACGGGCCCGCGCAAACACCCCTGGCGGCGCCCTTTAGGGGTGCTGAAACCAGCGCCCCGCCTGAGACCCGCCTGAATATGAGTAAGTCCGTGTATGAGTA